GTTGTGCTCAATCTGCTCGTCATGCACCAAGTTGAAGTGCTTGGGTCACTTAGCTTTGGCGCGTCAGAAACTAGGAGGGATCATGACCCTGGAAAGGCAGTATTTGAAATACAAACGTGCAAAAATTTAGGCTAGCATGGTGAGACAATAAAGCCAGCAAAATCCAAAATGCTTACAAAATGATGGGCCCTTCATGAACACTACAAAATGGGTGGAACACAATCTTCTGGGAACCCTGGATGCTAGGAAATGCATGGAAATATATGGAAATGCAATTTACGAATCCCTGAGTACAAAAGACAATGTTGAGTACAGCTGTATTGTGCTCCATCCCTCCCTAGATACCCCTTGTATCCCCTGATCATTTTGTAAGTGCATTGCACAAACCAAGGCATTTTGTAGGCCGGACTCCAACCACTGCATCATCAAAGCCTGCCACCAAGCAGCTACAATGCAGCATGGTGAACAGCCTTCACCTTTGGCACGGTTTGAGACTGTCAGTGAGGGATAGTGAGGGTATGTCAGGGCAAGTCCGAGAGAGGCTTGACCTTTTACCTTTTCTGAGTGGGAGTCCCCTGGGGTGTATGAATATATATATATACATATATTTTGATATATCTTGATATATATGTTTGGAAGGGTTTCTTGAAATTACAATCTACATCAACATACATCGACATGTTCATGAAAAGATGCAGGCACGTACAAGCACGTGCTGGATGACCACAACTCTTCAGGAGTAATCTTTCTGGCCAAGGTTGATTGCCCACCCCGAGGTCCCCGTGACCCACGATACCAGGACCATGCAAAACAAGCGTCGCACCGGCACGCCCAAAGCTTCCACGAAGAGTTCCACACTGGCTTCCTCATCGGCTCGAGGCCTGGGAACTCAGAAACATGTTGGTGCTACTGAAACGGGTTTTGGAGCTGCCCAGCCTCCAGACCAGAAAAGTTCTTATAAAATAAGGGGCCCTTCAGGATCACTACAAAATGGGTGGAATACCACTAAAATGATCCAAAAATATGTTCAGGGGAACCCTGCAAGCTAGCAATTGCCAGATGTCTATTCCTGGGTATCCCAAATGCCAGTGTACAAACATATCAGATCTAGATCTCCCTGGTCATTTTGTAAGCGCGTGGCCAAGACCAAGGCATTTTGTAGAAAACAAACAGGGTTCATAGTGAAACACACAGTGCACAGCACCAGTTAAATTGAAGCCAAAGAGCATTTTCCCACTTGACAAAGAGACGGTACGCCAGGAGGCGGGTCCGATTCCGCCATAGTCTCACTGCAACTGTCGCTCCCAAGCAATTGTTACAGTAACCCAGGACAGAAAGATGCATATAGATGCATATAGTAATCACACATACATACATTTAACTATGTGCATCTAATCTATGTGCTTTGTATCTTCATGCATATTAATTTTATATTTCTTGATTTTGTTGGTACATGTGTATGTGACCCAATGCATGGAGCAACTTGGTCGTTCCTAGTCAGCCCAAATGGCACTAGAATCCCTGTCAATGAAGCTTCAACAAGACGCCATCAACATCCATCAACCCATTCCCATGCAAATGGAAAGGCACCCTTTCCCTGGATCCACTCCGGCACAGATGCCTTGTGTGAAACTTTTGTCCTCTCGTGGAAATCCACGGCAGATCACGGAGCCGACAAATAATAACCCAGCCGGCTTGGAAACTATCCCGGGAAATATCACCCGGGTCTTTCAAGCACATCTTTCAAAGACAGTCAGGGGTCTACCACTTAGAATGCACTCCTGGTTGCACAGTCTGAAGTTCACCACGGAGGTGCCCCAATAATTCTAAAGCCCAGCCTCCCTCTGCCACCAACGCAGAAGTGCCAAGCAGAATCCTTGGGTATAGTGAGCCGAGGAGGCTAGGTCCTTGCCACCCTGCCATCCCAAACTGCCGTCTTTCTTCAGAACTTTGCTGTGGTAGACCTCATGAGCAGGGCAGCGCATAGGCTAATCACATGGCATCTGGGATACAAAATGAGTGGACCATGCCATTGTGACCATGCCCTGTCATTCTATAAGCATGCATGTAAAGCAATTTCTAGATGTTTACATATGCTTGTGTCCATTTGTGTCCCGTTTCACCTGTGTTCACCTCTTTTTTTCTTGTCCATGAGGCCCAGTCCTTCTTCTTACTGCCCCTGCGCTCCTGGCGCTGCTGAAACCTCTTCTGAAACCGAGCACGGTCTGCAGCAGACATAGTTTTCCGGAAGGATTTGCTCGCTGACCTCCAAACAATGTCAGAGAGATGCTGGGGGGACTGGGAGGCTACTGGAATGAATCGGGCGTAGTAAAACATGAGAAGGCGTGAAGACTTTTTTTTGGGGTAGTTGCTCTACCGTTGCATTGTCTAAGCAAAAACCACAGGCCTTTTGTTGGAAAGCAAATGTGAGCACTTCAATAGGTCGTGTCCCCAGAATGCCATCCATGTAGTAATGCACAGCCTAGGCCGACGAAGAAATGGTTATTGGCATCCATGTGTCTCCATATGTACATATATATAATATGTATTCATTTGTAGATGTTTGTAACCATTTGCAATTTTGTAATTCAAACACTTAGGCCAAGCCATTTTGTAAGAAAAAACTGAAACCTTGCCATTTTGTAGCCCTCACCTATTGTCCCATCCTATATACAAGCTCTGGCCGACAGGTAGCAAATCAAAATCCTCAATCAGAATTTCCATGAACCACTGCTTGTAGCACCAGGAACCGGATGGCTGCTCCACAATCACACTCAATGTCGGCGCTGCACTCAGGATCACACGCAGCAGGGTCGCCTCAGAATAGAGAAAACACCACCTGGCTGCGCCAACTGTCATAGTGACCATGCAGGAGAAAGCCCGGAATGAGCGTGCACAAACATGATTAGTATACAGGGTACACAGAGAAAGAATTGCCTATGCATTGACTATCGTTGACTATTAACTTCCTGAGCTTTGCTCAGTCAACTGCAGCCAAAGCACAAAGTTGTGTAGTATTTGCTGTGCCAGGCGCACCAGAAACACAGTGGGGTTTCCTTCCGGTCTGAACCAGTTACGCTGATGTACACTGGCGCAAGCAGGACTGAACAGTGAGCAAGGTGGTGCACAAATGACAGCTGCGTGGCTGTGGAGCCTCAGGCTCAGGGCGGCACGCATTGGTGCTGAGGACCCGTGAGTACAAGGAACCCGACCCGATCTACCCTGGTTGCTACCAAAAAACAAAACATCTACAGAGTGACAAAAACTCCAGTTCTGTTGACGCAAGCGACTGTGCAGCAATTTTCAAAAGATTCTTGCGCCCGGATTCACTCACCATGTCATGTTCATGATTGAGCTTGATGTCAAAGGAAACAGCACTGTATCCAGCTTTCAGCCATTGTCTGGCCACGGCCTGACTGGCACCAAACCAATCCAAGCAATGATGAATCGGTTCGCTGGCAGCTCGAGCTGCTGCAAAAAAACATCCTCAAGGAGTCCTCGTTCTTGCGCGCATCAAACCACCTGAAGTGACAGGATTTCAGGCCTTACAAATTGAGTAGCATTCCTTACAAAATGGCTAGGTTTGGGCTCTGTAAACTCTGTGGGACCCATTTTGTAGTTTAGCCCTGGACAACTTAGTTTAGCCCATGGTGTTTAAAAAATATATATACATAAAAAGATATATAAATATTAGACATAACCCACAAAAGTATACAAAAGTCCAATTCCATTGTAACCGGTCAAGTGGCGTCTCTTCAGGCGTCAGGCATGTTGTGTCGTCTTCCAGCGACGGTAGCGTGCTCTGAACCAAAGGCACTAGAAGCACAACAAGGCTCCAGCCAAGAAAGGTCATGGCGTGGACGGAGGAGAGGCGGACACTGAGTGGTCGGGGCAGAGCGCCAGAATTGCTGCGATTAAAAAAAAAGGCCACCGAAAGCAGGCGAGGCAAGGGAATCTGGAGAGTCGTGGTCACAGGATTGCTGATTTCTTACAAAATGGTGGTTTCTTACAAAATGCAATGTTTCATCTGTGTTTGATTTCCTTATAGAATGCATCAGTGCATCCACCACATACTTTCTGCATCCAACAATGAGGCAAAAGGATAGGCACCATAGACTCTTACAAAATGAGTTTGCTCCTAAAACGCGCTTCTTATAAAATGACAGGATTTATCTTACAGCTATAGCCACCCCTTGATTCCTTACAAAATGGATACTTAAAAGTTCTTACAAAATGAGTACCCCTATTTCCCATTATTTTCTTACAAAATGATAGGGGTACGACCCCTTGATTTCTTACAAAATGACCCTCTATAAACAGTTTATATGGGGCTTGACCCCTCCCTTTTCATAGGGGAAATTTCAACGCCGATATTTTTGGCTACATTCAAAGCAAGACCGTCATATTCAATCATGCCAGCATGGTCAAGTGAATTCAGGCGGTTCACAGGATCTTGGCACTTCTTTTTTCTTTCCCTGTGTCTTAATCTACTGCCCAAGCGGAAAGCCATCAAAAGTCTTGAATCTGGTGGGCACCCTGGCATCTCCATGCTCAGACTTGTATTCAGTGAGCTTGCTGAAGCCTCTTTCCCATTCAACCGCGTCGCTTGTCAAAATTTCTCGGGGCCACGCGGAGATAAAACTGGAAACATGTTGGCTGTGTAAATGGAACATTAAAATGGAATTCCTAAAGGTACCCCCCCCTCGATCCTCCATTTTCGAGGAGGGGGGATGGTTGGAGGCCATCGCTGGTAGGTTGGAGGCCATCGCTGGTAGGTTG